TTCGGTAATGCTAGCACAGGATGATTTATATGGCAAAATTTGTGTGTCCATTTCGAGAGCGTGTAAGCCATGTGAAATCAGGCACACCTGTATGCGAGATGAAATGCCATATTTGTTGGGAATATATGAATAATGAAGGCGTATAAAAAAGCTTGAGATAAAGAAAGGTTTGAAAGGAGAATAGTAAGAGAAAGAGATGGAAATGTAGAGTGAGGTAGTGGGGGGGGGGGGGGGGGGGGGGCATACCATACCACATGCTGTTGGCTGATTCACTAAGCTCTGGGTTACTGTCCATTGTAGTTGAGTATTATGCTGCTGTGTACAGAGGCTGCTGCTGTTTCCACTGTTGGAGGAATGCGCCTGAAAGACCTGTGTTCCTGCACAGGGACTGTCTAGTGATGATCAGTGTCAGGACCATGTGCTAATCTGATGTTCCAGTGCTGATTCAGTTTCCTCAGTGTTCCAGCTGCCTGTCACAGCTAAAGAATGTTGGTTTGAGAGGGAGGACCCTTTCACTGGACAACGAGGGACTGCTGGGGAGAAGACATTGGAGAGACCTTCGGCCACCATTTTGTGCATACAGTTGAAAGCTCCAATAGGCCCCCAACATAGGCAGGACTGAAATAGTGTTCCACTGGCCAACAGTTAGAAAAAGCCTGTGCGTGTGCGTAGTACCTACAGTAGGTTGTCGTCGTTTTTGCTTTGTCACTAATATTACCTATTATATGTTAGTATTGTGGTATCATCGTTCCTCTGTACCGACTTATTGTTTTCTGGGTGAGCCAAATCAAAGGAGGCTGTAGGAAATGAACACTGTGATTTTGATAATTGGGGTCACGTATCAAACTATGTTTGCTCTACTGTTATTCTTCATGTATGCAGAACAGGGGTGGACTGAACATTTGGAAACTCGGGCGCTGCCCGAGGGCCCAGGGTCAGTAGGGGGCCCCATGAGATGCCCCTGGTACCTTTTTTCATAGGCTTTTTTGAGTTTGGGCAAGGACACAAGGGCCCCATGCTCCCCTTTTGCCTGGGGGCCCCATGAGTTGTCAGTCTGCCCCTGTTACAGAAGATGTAATCCCAACATTTAACTAGGAGGGTGTTACATTAATATAGTCCTAACAGAGGGGAGAGTGCATGCTGACAATACAAGCTCACATTGAAGTATCCAATCCATTGCCATCTCCCCCGATGGTTGCAGATGGGAACTTTTTAAAGCTATATATGCTCATGCCCGGTCTTGCTACATGTGAGTGACTTTATATTTTAATGCTTTTTTAAATAAAATAACAGCGAGCACGATGTAAGTTCTGAATGTCTTTTAACATGTAAATACGCACTGAATAATCCATCCACCCACCTGAGCTGCTGAGGTTCTCCAAGAGTCCTTGCTTATTAAAGAGGAAAGGAGTCCATCTGGTATTGGAGTGCATATGGACCTTTGTTGAGGGGGTCAATATAGAGAGGTGAGAATTTTCCCATGAGATAAAGAAAAGTCAGAAAGGAGAATAGCTAGAGAAAGAGATGGAAATGTAGAGTGAGGTAGTGTGTGTGGGGGGGGGGGGGGGGGTTTGGGGGAAATGAGAGGCGAAAAGATAAAAAAAAAAAGGGGGGGGGGAATGGGGGGAATGGGTAGAGAGTAAAGGGGATGTTAAGGTGGACAATTGTGGATAAAATAATTCACATCATTTGGTACGAGCCAAAAATAAAATAGTCTTAAGCATTGTATTTAATATTACATTTTATTTTAAATATTTATATTAAAAAAAAAACATTTTTGTGTATCTGACAGTAGATCATACAGCCTATTCTGGGTGTTTTTTGATTAGTGATCATATAATTAGGGTTTATTTACTATAGACAAAGAGGATGTTCACTTTGCTACAAAGTTGCACTTTGCAAGGGAATTATACCCAGAGCTTAGTGAATGTGGTGAAATTTCACTTTGCAAAGAATACGCAATCATGTGTTAAGGAAATTTAAAAAAAAACATCCCTTACAAAGTAAACAGCTTATTTGCCTTTAGTAAAGCAATTATTTTGTTTTCCTTGCTTCTACCTATGTCTATATCCAAGGACTTCACATGGGATAGGTATTTACAAAACAACTACAGCTTGATGATTACTATGCTAGGTCTGGCACGCAATAAGAAGCCTAAACCAAACCATCTGAACCCAACTCAACATCCAGTTTTGATATTTATTTCACAATATCTTTTGAACCATCTTCGATCTCAGAGCATTTTCTCAACCTGCTGCTTAATTGATAATCCCCTCAGTTCTCCTGCCAGCACCATCCTCCCGATAACAGACATAGCGAAAATAATTACTGGTATGAAATGGCCCGTTCCTTCCCGTACTGAGCGGTAACTATCTGTCCCGCCAAGCAGGCTCATCACCAGCCAAGATAAAGACCGGATCACAAAACTTATTAATTAAAATTACTCAAGTCTTCTGCTATTGTACTAATTGTGTAAGTACTCCTCCTTAGTTTAGTGGCAGTATTTTGTAAAGGCTTTGTAAAGCTTAAAAAGAGTCTACAAAGAAGAAAAAAATAATTTAACAAAAATATTGTTTTTTTTAGGCAGTTTTTTTTTTTCCCCATTCAGAGATTTTCTGCACTCTAGGGGCCACATATTAACAGATGTAGATTTAAAAAGCAGCGTATGATGTTTTGCCGGAAAAACGCGATAGTGATAAAAAGAATTAGCGGGGAGTTTTCTTTTTTTCTTTTTTTTTTTTTTACTCCTAAAGCTATCAGTATATTACAAGATGATCCTTTAAGACTTAAAAAAAGGAGAGAGATTCAATCTTTTCTACTGAATATATCTTTTTCTTTACCCTAAAGGCAGTTATGAACTAAAGTGTGCTCCCTGCTGAGGCCAAGCTGGAAACTTCTGTAAACATGTATAACAATAAGATACATTCATTTTCGGGAGATAGCAATTACTTTGAATGCAGACGACAAGATGGAGAAAAAGGACTGCATCACAAGTGAGTTCTTAGGTCTCTTTTTGTTGGGGATATGTGACATCTAAGATTATTTCTGCAGCAGCAAATCATATATTTTTCTATTTAATATAAAAAAAGTAAAATAGAACTTGCCTGAAGCATATCTATGGTCAAAATGTAAGATCATACATTTATTTCTACATTGTATTTCAATTTATTTCTAGCATACTCCTATTAATCTGAACAATCTTATAAACTAAGATCCCCGCACATTTTGTGTATGTGATTATCTGTGCACAAGTGTATGGCTAATTAAAGCTGCAAACATGAAGTGAGCAAAAAATCACTTGAATATATATATATATAAAAGTAAATGCTGCGCTATCAACAAAAAGTTATCTGTGAGTATTAACCACTGTCTGTAATCTGGTGTTCTGTGTGTTTTCAACAATCATCAAATAATCAGAAAAAACTATTAGACAATCATAAAGAATAATACAGCAAAAGTTTATATAATCGTGAATGTAATAGTCCCATACTACTTGTGATATATATATATATATATATATTATCTATATATATATATATTATATATAGATATAGATATATAATCTATATCTATATCTATCTATCTATCTATCTATATATATATATAATCTATATCTATATATAATCTATATCTATATCTATCTATATCTATATATAGAGATATATATATATATATATATAGAGAGAGAGAGAGAGAGAGAGAGAGAGAGAGAGAGAGATATTGTGACAGTATGAACGGCGAGGTGATAGAGGGACGCTATGTGTCACCTCGCATGAGATCATACCTGACAGTTTAGGTGGAGTCCACTCCGGGTTTTCGGGGCCACAGTTGAGGAGGTGGGTCCGGACCAAAGTTTGGGCTCCACTGATGACCACCAACAGGTGGTATAAATAAGGCAGGGCTGGAGCAAGGAGTTGCTCGTGGCCTGGGACTCAGAGAGGTGTTCTGAGAGAGCTGTATGTGTACTATACCTACAAGAAAAGGTTTTGCTTTTGTTTTATTTTGGTGACAGGGAGAAGCCCTTCACCTCTGAGAGAGGAAACGCCTTTTGTTTAGTTAGTGCCTGGATGGCAAGGGTTTATTTTCATGTTTTGTTTATTTTCTGCAAACCTTTTAAATAAAGCTGACAACCAGTCAGATTTTGATGAAAGCCTGCTGTGCGGTCTACCTTTGTCCCAGGGAAGGAGATCCCCCACCTGAGCTAACCCCACAATATATATATATATATATATATATATATATATATATAGAGAGAGAGAGAGAGAGAGAGATCTATATATATATATCTATATATATCTATATATATATATATCTATATATATATCTCCCAGGTACTGCAAGAACACGGAAGTAGAAAACACCTTCATCACAGTAAATCCCTTAGGTCCCTTCCACACTGTCTGCTGATCTCAGTTGAGCAGGTGAATGCTTGGTCCATGTCCACTCCACTACGGGCGGTCAGATGTTTGTTTACACCCAACTGCCATCCGAAACGATCTAGACAGATGGAGGGGAATGGATCCCCATCTGTGTGTTTTTAGTGGATTGGCTGTAGGCAGGTATAAACGGACACATGTTTGTTTACACCCGCTGCTCCATGGAGGAGAAATGAGGTTTTGATCTGGTCCAACTTGAAAAAAGGACAGAGGAACCTGATCAGAAAGTCCATGTGACAGAGGCCTAATGGGAAAATTCTCACCTCTCTATATTGACCCCCTCAACAAAGGTCCATATGCACTCCAATACCAGATGGACTCCTTTCCTCTTTAATAAGCAAGGACTCTTGGAGAACCTCAGCAGCTCAGGTGGGTGGATGGATTATTCAGTGTGTATTTACATGTTAAAAGACATCTAGAACTTACATAGTGCTCGCTGTTACTTTATTTAAAGAAGCATTAAAATATAAAGTCACTCACATGTAGCAAGACCGGGCATGAGCATATATAGCTTTAAAAAGTTCCCATCTGCAACCATCGGGGGAGATGGCAATGGATTGGATACTTCAATGTGAGCTTGTATTGTCAGCATGCACTCTCCCCTCTGTTAGGACTATATTAATGTAACACCCTCCTAGTTAAATGTTGGGATTACATCTTCTGTAACAGGGGCGGACTGACATCTCATGGGGCCCCCAGGCAGTAGGGGATCATGGGGGCCCCTGTGTCCTTGCCCAAACTCAAAAAAACCTATAAAAAAAGGTACCAGGGGCATCTCATGGGGCCCCCTACTGACCCTGGGCCCTCGGGCAGCGCCCGAGTTTCCAAATGTTCAGTCCGCCCCTGTTCTGCATACATGAAGAAAAAACAGTAGAGCAAACATAGTTTGATATGTGACCCCAATTATCAAAATCACAGTGTTCATTCCCTACAGCCTCCTTTGATTTGGCTCACCCAGAAAACAATAAGTCGGTACAGAGGAACGATGATACCACAATACTAACATATAATAGGTAATATTAGTGACAAAGCAAAAACAACAACGACAACCTACTGTAGCTACTACGCACAGGCTTTTTCTAACTGTTGGCCAGTGGAACACTATTCCAGTCCTGCCTATGTTGGGGGCCTATTGGAGCTTTCAATTGTATGCACAAAATGGTGGCCGAAGGTCTCTCCAATGTCTTCTCCCCAGCAGTCCCTCGTTGTCCAGTGAAAGGGTCCTCCCTCTCAAACCAACACTCTTTAGCTGTGACAGGCAGCTGGAACACTCAGGAAACTGAATCAGCACTGGAACATCAGATTAGTACATGGTCCTGACACTGATCATCACTAGACAGTCCCTGTGCAGGAACACAGGTCTTTCAGGCGCATTCCTCCAACAGTGGAAACAGCAGCAGCCTCTATACACAGCAGCATAATACTCAACTACAATGGACAGTAACAAAGTCTCTGTGCAGGCAGCTCTTAATATAACCCTGCAGAGGTCAATCAGCCAACAGCATGTGGTATGCTATGCAGTTCCTTGCAGCCCTGAGCCCCTGTATACAGGATCCCAGCTACTTGTGGTTTTTCTGAAACCTCTAAGTCCTCTTCCTCTGCTCACTGCATGCTCTCGCCCCCGCTGTGTACCTTCAGGTCTGGACAACAGGAAGGGGAACTGCCTCACACTCTGCTGCACTAAAACCCACCAACCAATCAGAATCCATATTGGTCCAGGCAGCCAATCCCAGTCCTCCTATTCCCCTGTTGCTAGGGGTGGGCCCTCTTCAGCTGTTGAAGCAGCCAATTAAGGTACAGTTTAGCCTCCTTTCTCCCTGCATCTGTCCATGAAAGGCGAGAGAAGATGAGTTAAAAAAAGTCCTTGCAACATTTTGTCATTGGGCTGAATTTAAAGAGCCCTGCCAGCACTACAGTTGTTTTTAAATGTATCTGCAGCATTGATCATACTGAGAAGCAGTACCGTGATAGAATCATTCAACACCCAGGGCAAGGAAGGGAAACTGCACCGCCTCCCATTCTCCAAATGCATGCCATTGAATGGTTGTACTGTGCCATGCCTAATCTATTCCCCTTGCTCCAGCTGCCCATGGTTGGCCTGGGGTATGCACTGCACATGCAAGGCTGATTGCCTGCTTTCTAGCAGCTAGAAGAACCTTGCACATGCACAGTATTTTTTTTTGTGTCAGCTGTGGGGCTATAGGGAGCAGAGTGGGCATGTTGGAGCACAGCATTGACAGCAGTAGCTATCAAAGAAGACATGAAGCTGAGACCTGACATTTGGTAGCCACTGATCTGGAGATTTTTTGCAGTGATGGGGCTCCAATTGCTCCCACCATTTTGCCCAGGGCAGCTGTCCTTCCTGCCCACCCCTTGTCCCGGTCCTGCTATCAAAGCAGACATGAAGCTGAGACTTGATATTTGGTAGCCACTGATCTGGAGCTTTTTTGTAGTGATTGGGCTCAAACTGCTCCCACCATTTTGCCCAGAGCAGCTGTCCTTCCTGCCCACCCCTTGTCCCGGTCCTGCTATCAAAGCAGCCATGAAGCTGGGACCTGACATTTGGTAGCCACTGATCTGGAGCTTTTTTGCAGTGATTGTGATCCAACTGCTCCCACCATTTTGCCCAGAGCAGCTGTCCTTCCTGCCCACCCCTTGTCACGGTCCTGCTGAGGAGTATTTAAATACAGATGGTAAGGGGTTTTATGAGAATACTGTCATGAATGTCCTTTTTCAGATATTTTATGATATAATGTAACAATTATTTACCGAATATGCCTACATTGCCATCCTGTTACATGTTCCACTAATGGAGACTACATGCTTCCATCCCAACATGTTGTGCAGATATGGTCTACTGCTGTCAGTATAAGGAAGCTGATCCAGATCAATAAGCAGCAGACACTGAAGCAAGTGCATGTAGATAGGAAGTGCCTAAAAGAGGCTGAAAGAGATCAATAGCAGGAGATCCAAAAATGTTTTAAAAAAGGTGATAACAGTAGTTTTATTTAAAACAAAAACACACCTTTTTATTTGGCACAGTTGCTTAGCAAAAGTCACCAAGTTAGAATTTAGCTCTCTAAGCATACCTAGGTAGACACAAGCGACTTACTTGAATTATCGTTATTTATTTATGTATTCATTATTTTAATTAAAAATGTTCCCTTTATTTCTGCTTTGATAAACTGTGCCTATCTTAATTCAACAGTTTGTTGTTGTTGAATTAAAACAAAAAGAAGATGGGCTTTTTTTTTTTACTTTCTCTTTAATTTTGCAATTTAAAAATTAATTTGTCTTCCAAAATTGTAGTAGCTCAGCTAGGTAAATAACAAGCTAATGGCATACAGTGACAGCAAAATTAATAAATGCCAAATTTGAACACTTACAAAACAATTTGTCAATTGAAAAATGTCATAAACCATAAAGAGTTCATTTTTCAGAATGCCAAAAAATGTATAGTTCAGTGACAATAATTTAATGTGTGGGTGAAAGAGAGAGAAAGAAGGGGAGGAAGATATACTGTAGCAAAAAAAAATGGATGATGTGAAAAGAGTAACATGCATTTTCTGGATCATAAACCTCCCAGTATGTGTGGCCCTTGAACTTCATTTAACTGTCAAATGGCCTTGTGGTGGTGGATTGTCAAGTAGACCAAGAAAAATGAGCAATTGTCAGAGTTAACACTTTGCTTTCCCATACCAGCAGCCTGTTCAGTTGTCAATAAAAAAAACAGGTATTCAGGAGGCAGCATCACCTTCTAAATGCCTGTTAGTATTTCACAGAGTGACGCATGTGTAAACAAGCCCAGAAAATGCTCCAAAAAAAAAAATCCATAACACATCCTTTGTAACCTACTAGCTTGGAATAAGCTACACTGGACTTCACTCTGGGTCTTCTTGGTGATACTGCCTATAAATCATGTTGATTCAGCAAGCTACTATACTGTCTGCATAAACAAAGGTCTCAGGAGACATATGTTTTGCACAAAGTGACATTTGAAACACATTGCAGTGCACTGCAAAGCAGACGTGTTGGACAGCCCTTTACCATTAATTCACAATGAATGCCCCCCAGCATACCAACAAAAGTCTTGTTGAGCATAAGTGGTATTAATAGGCACTGCTAAAAAGTGTCTTGTTACTATCTGTGCTGCTACTGAACAAAACTCTTATTTTATTCAGTGATAACAGGAAGTGAATGGAAATTTCCAAAAGCAGGACATTAACTGCAAAAATAACCTAACAGCACTTCTATTCCTCCCCCATCTGTCCAAAAGTGAAAAAAAAAAATAGGTTGGAATTTTTCATTAAGAGAATAGGCACATTGTGCATGTGGGCTCTATTCCAATAATTTTGGGCTCTATTATTCTATAATTTGTGCATCTGGGCTCTATTATTCTATAATTTTAATTTTGAATGTTATAGAACCTCTAGAGATATACAAAAAAGTGACACTTCCGAGCTCGAAAGTGGTGGAGGCACCTGCCCCTGTTCCAGCATCACTGGTGAGAAGCGTGACCTAATACACTATTATTTAGGAATGTGGCGGCTAGTGTGCCACCAGCCATTGCTCTGAGGAAGGGGGCCAGTTCCCCGAAACGTGTCAGCTGGCTCAGTCATCTATTCACCAGTTGGAGTTGGATAGCGGCTGTCTGTATTTCATGCCTTGTGTGTGTTTTAAATGCATTCAGCCTATTGGGCTTGTGAGTATATTTTTATTTTGCTTCACCCAATAAAGTACTAAAGAATGCACTAGCTGTTTGCACCCCGTTTGTGTTTTTTTGAATGGAACATCTGTCAGGTTTCTTATTTGTGGTCTGTATCACCATTGGGGAATTTTGCCCTTACTTCTTGTTTGGACAGGACAAGAGGGAAAATCTCATCAGTGGAGACACAGAAGGTTTACAACCTCTGTTAAGTTATTAGAACTTTGTGTCTTTTGTCCCAATGACAATTGCTACCCTAATTTCTTGTGTCCCAGGTGAAGGAAGTGAAGAGATATCTCCCAATAGGGTCACACAGAGAATTAAAAACTTAATAGAAGTATATTTTTATCCCAAGTCTCACATAAAAGTATGCAAAAAAAATCCTTTGGTTGCTTTTGGATCGTATCCTTGGATCCTTGTGGATTCTTGATCTATCCCTGGCCATCATACGACAGCTTGGAACATCTCCTAAACTGGAGCTCTTTATGACTAACAGTTGACACTTCCATCCAAAGTTTTTGACTGCTCGAAAAAAAATGTTTTTGTTATAATATGGCACTGGTGGCAGTAGAGAAAATAAAACTAAAAAACTATGGAATTGTTGCCTACAGCAAGTAAAGTAAGTCAATTTTTCATACTCAATCTCACTGCCTTTGTGGGATTGGGATTTTGTTTCCTCAAGAGGCAAACTTGGCCACTATGTAATTCACTAGCACTTCCTATGGACAGTTTTTGAAATCTTTCTCCAATTTCACACTTGAATCCAAGCATGGTCTTAAAGCGTATATAAGCCAGGAGAATTTGGAATGTAATCAGAACTAAGCCAAAGTATTGACTGAATCTAATTGGATAACTCACTGGCTCTATTATTCTCATGTCATCATTCTCCACTTCTCATTTCAGACCCTGTAGACATAGCTGAAGTTCTGCTGACCTCCATAAGTATCAGAGTGCCATCTTATATCCATTTTTAATTATAATCTGACCTAATTATCCACAGTTTCGTGACTCAAGGATAAGAAAGTGCAAAAGTAAATTAACCTCTTATTGATATTTAAAACCATATTTGAGCTTCAGTACTCTCTGGTCTTCCCGGCGCCAAGCTTCCTCCTATTGTAATAGTCTATAAAGTTATCAGTCTATTACTTTCA